AAAAAAAAAAAAAAAGGTAAATCTAATCCAGCAATGTTTTCAAAGTATGCTGCATCATGACAAAGGAGTTTTTCCAAGAAATTCAAACTCAGATTGACAATTAAAATTAACAAATACAATTTATTATAGCAACAGAATATAGAAAAAAATAATTATGTAATTATGTCAATAAATTGCATGGGAAAGCATTCAGAAAAATCAAACATGCTTTCCTCAAAAAAGATTTCAGCAACTTTTAGAAGAGAACTGCTTTATCACTTCTTGGCCTTTTGACTAAGATCAAGTATTGAGACAGTTACCTCTACTGGAGGAAGACAAGGCAAGAATGCCTGTTTTGATCTTTGCAATTCCTACCAGCTTCAACCTACTATAATAGGAACAAAGAAGAATTCTCAGGTGTTTAAAAGAACAAAGAATATTTTTATTTTTCATAGATGACATGATTGCAAATGTTAAGTACACCAACTAATTCAGAAATATCTTTTGCAACCAGTGATATACAAAGGAAATTTTCACAACACAAGATGAATACACAGAAAAATAATTATAATTATAATTATAATTATATAGATTGCAGTTACTAAGGTATCATCCTAAAATATAATATTCATACTGCATGATAAAATAATCTGTTCTTTGTAACAGAATAATCCAATTATCCTCTTAGTTTGCTTAAATGTAAAGCAAAAAGAAAACTCATTTATTGTCATTCGTGACAAGGAATCATAAAATTAAAAAAGATAAATCCTGGTAAATTCTGCTCAATTCCAAAATGGGAAGCCAGTTTATACTGGTGTTTGTCAGTTATGGTAGATGTTCATTTGCACGCAAAAGCCATTCAACTCTGTGGCTTAATAATTAAAGTTACCTTTTATGTCTTTAAGAGTGAAAGAGCTAGAAAGCACAAAGCAAGAAATTACACCCAGCTAAGTTTGCTCTCAATGTTTTCCAGCAGATGAGTACAATAACTTCCACTTACATATTCTTACTTAACTTACAACCCTTCAGCACCATGGGAATCTGAAAACTGAATACTTTTAATTGGTTTCAGTGTCATGTCAAATAAAACCAGGGCTCTCTTAGTGAGGAAGAAGTAGAAAGTGGCTATCAGACCCCAAAACCGTAGTGTCTGTTACAAAAGTGGTCAGTAATGAATTCTTCTGAGATTTTTCATGAGGCTATATCATGTGACAGAGTAACAGCGTGCCCTGCCACCAAGAGTGGCAGTGTTCTGATCAAAACTCGAAGCCATGCTGATTAATACCACTGAAATGAAATCAGGAGTAGAGCCATAAGGCAATGCTGCTCTGGGGTTAGGAGAGGTTAAGAGAGCCATCCGGCAGAAAAGTGTAGAAACGAGGTATGAAAAGTGAAGCCTTGTTAATATGCTGAGCTGTGGAAGGCTCAAGTCATCAGATTCGGACATTGCCAGTCCTGTGGATAACCCACTACTATTGTGGAGTACTGCACTACATTGGAATATTTTGCTGAATTCACATACCTACAATGTTTGGATGGTAATGGGATACCCATCTCCGACAAAACTGAACAAAAAAGGTGATAAATGAAGGCAAATTTGTATCTGTATATACAAAATAGGATAGATATGTAGCTACTTTCTCTTAATTCAGTAAGAAAAAAGATCTGTACTAATAGTGTCTGGACATGATATCATGTCTGCATCTTGTGCTATGAATGACTACTACAAAGAAAACAATATGCAATGAATTAATTGTTGTAACTCTCCTACCAACCTGTTTTGAAGCTGTCACATTGCAATTTTTTCTCAATAAAATTAATAAAAATAAAATTAAATTTAAAAAATAAAATGAAACCAAATTTAAAAAGTTATCGTAACTATCCTACTAACCTGTTTTGAAACTATCTCAATGCTATTTCTTTTTCAATAAAATTAATATAAAAATTTTAAAAAGAGAAATAGAACTAACACTAACATTTACTCTGTGCTTATCATGTATCCCATTTCTTCCATTTCAGCTTTCTGAAGCAAGACACTGTTACTAGTCCTATTTTACAAGCAGGGAATCAGAGACTTAGAAAAGAAGCTGATTTGCCTGAGTCATACACTTAGAAAGTGGCAGACCTGGGATTTAAACCAGTCTGTTTTGTTTCACAGCTCCAGCTCTTGGCTCTCAAACCAGTGACCCTCAAACATTAGAGTGCATTAGACCTTCCTGAAGGGCTTGAAAGAACATTTCGGATTCAGTAGGCCTGGGCTGGGGCTTGACAACTTTCCTTTCTAACAGCTTCCTGGATGGGGTTGATGATGTCCACTCAAGATCGCGCCCCTAAGGAAGACTGCTATGAGGGGAGATAACACTGAGCAGGAGAATAGTCCATTTATTACAACCCTGTTGCTATCCAAGTTCCTTTATCTTTGCTATGGAATATTGGTAGGTCTTTGTATTAGTCAAATAAATGAAACAAACAGGATGTAAACCAATATACATGAGATTTAGTACTGTAATTGGCTTATGAAATGATAGAGACTGAGAAGTCTCATGATATTCTGAAGGACTAGAAAAACTCAGAGGAATGCAGTCCTAGGCCACAGCCTGAGAGCAAGGGCAGCCGATTGTGGAAGTGCAGGTTCAAGGTCAAAGGTCTGAGACGCAACGGGTCGGCTGGGGAGGCAGGGAGCTCAGGGGCGCTTGTGTGAGTTGTGGAGTCCACGGACCCACGAAGCAGGCACTCTGACATGTGAGGGGGAGGGTGGATGCTTCCACACAAGAGAAGCCATCCTCTCTCTGTATTTTTGTCCTTCCTGGCCCTCCGCAGATTGATGAGCAGGGACTGCCTTTACTCAGCTTACTGATTCAGATGCTGATCTCATCCAGAAATGCTGTCCTCAGACTCATTCAGAAATGATATGTTCGTCTTGTTTATTTATTTATTTATGATGCTGGGGAATGTGCCAACTAAACTGCCATAGAAATTTCACTCTTGCAGTGTGATTAGCCCTGTGTTACAGAGGAGTCTAATAAAGCACCTTGTCTCCACTTGCACAGTAAAGGGGCAGTCAGTGCTCAAATCCAGAGGTGTGATGTCCCAGGGCTCACTAAACAATTGATGGGCAATTTAAGAATTTGCTTAGAAAAAAAAAAAAAAAAAGAATTTTCTCACTTTATGAGGAATTTGTCGGGGCTATTGAACACATTTTTGACTGGTGGTACTTTCAGCTCCTGATGGCTTTCTCTGCCACAAACCCCACTGTATGTTGGGGAGTACCTGTTTAGTTTCTGCAGGAGGGAACAGTATGGGATGTGCCCCTTTCCTCTTCCCCCTTCCTCCAGTGATGCTCCCTGAACTTGCCATCTGCAGGCCCCTTTACTCAGGTTGCTCCTCCTCTGCTTGCTTTATCAGGGGGCAAAGGATTTCTCTTCACCGTGGCAGACCTTCAGGCTGGTGTTGTTCGCTACCACCATGACGACAGCGACTCCACCAAAGACTTTGTGGTCTTCAGGATCTTTGATGGTCACCACAGTATCCGGCACAAGTTTCCCATTAACATTTTACCCAAAGATGACAGCCCCCCATTCCTCATCACCAATGTTGTGATAGAGCTGGAGGAGGGGCAGACTGTCCTGATGCAGGGGTCCATGCTGCGGGCCTCGGACGTGGACTCCAGTGATGACTATATCTTCTTTAATATCACAAAGCCTCCACAGGCTGGAGAGATCATGAAGAAGCCAGGCCCAGGGCTGATAGGTAAGTTCGAGGCAGTTACAAACGTTTGAATGAAATGGAGTTTTTCACTGGGAATTTTCCACACAATGGTGAGTTGGCTGACATTGTATCAGAATTTGTGCTGAAGTAGATAGCACATTTATGAAGTAAGGTATTGTTATCCCCACTGTACAGATGGGAAGCCTAAGGTTCAGATAAATTAAATTGATCTGTCTGAGGGTGAACATTCAGAAAGTTCTAGAGCTGAGCCTCAGATAACCATTACACTGTGAAAAAAATTTTCTACAGGATAATTAAACAAGTAAGTCTGAAGGAAGGCATTTGGCTTATTCTAGATGACTGATAAAACAATTTTATGAACAGCATTTGTTCATTTTTAGTAGAATAATTTATTTCATAGCTATCTCTTAAAGTAGGTAGCTTAGGAGTTTAACAAAATAGAAAACAAATAAGTAGTAATGATTTTATTATTATTATTATTATTATTATTATTATTATTATTATTATTTGGCTGGCTCAGGCTGTGTAAAGGGCAGGTCTGGTAGGGGACTGAACCACGGTCCCCTGCACCTAACTGGGTTTGCCCCAGCAGGTGTTTAAACAACTGAGCTAACCCACCAGCCCCCTACATATATTTAAAATAAGATGATTCTTGGAAATATTTTTCCAACTCTAATTTTTCTGTATTAGTAAGATGGGGTAAAGAGAAATCTTAGTCTTTTTGCTTTATTACCTATAAGTGTTTTGCTTAACATATTTAAGGCATATTCTTTGAGTACGTATAATAAACTAATCACAGAAAAATTTGGGATCAATTCAATATAACCTAAAAGTTGGGTTTTTTTGGGCCCCATAGGCTATCCTGTCCCTGGCTTTCTTCAGAGAGATTTATTTAATGGGGTCATTTACTATCGTCACTTTGGTGGAGAAATTTTTGAAGATTCTTTTGAATTTGTCATGTGGGACAGCCATGACCCTCCAAACCTCTCAGACCCACAGGTAAGAGACTATCTTTAAATATTTTTTCATAGTGTCACACACAGATATCATGTCTGGAAGCTATTTTAGCTAAAAAGTTTTATGAAATTCTGTTTTTCATGTTAAGGTTATTTAACCTTGGGATCCTTTTATATTGAACATCCCACAAGAAAACATTGAGCTCAAGGAAACATTTCTTTAATATGTAGTGATCGAAGTGTAGGCTCTAGCGTTAGAGCCTGAATTTCTTCTTGATCTTGGCACTAGCTGGTCAACTTGTACACTTTTTGTTCCTGTAAAACAGGGAGCAAAAGGGACTTCTTCATAGAGTTACTGTGAAGGTATCACAATACATCTAAAGCCCTGAACTTCTAGTCCATGGGAAGGGCACAATAAATACATTTTCATTATTATTGTACTTGATGATCTAATAGTTTTACTACCACTACAGGATAGAGTTTAAAGATAAAGAAACAAGGAATAAGCATAAGAGAACATTGCCATATAGAAAGTTCAGAAAAAATAGAACCAGTAGAGTGAACATCTTAGAGAAGAGTGGACTCCTGGCAAAGAGAGGATAGATTGTAGCAAGGTTTAAAAAGATGGCAGCTGACATTAAGTGACCACCTACTATGCACGTTATTTTGCTAGGTATTTTATACCTATTATCTTGAAAAGTAGCACATGTATGAACACAACAGTTTCAAAGTTGTTCTCGAATGACTGCTTACAGCATGCATGCTCTTCCTCATGTCTTCTTGCAATGCCACCATCACTCGCATGAACCAAGGCATACATGGTGGAGCTGTTCGTCTGTTTGCTAAGATGAATATAATGGCAGATGTGACATTAGTCCTGACATGTCACTCCACTGGATTAGGAAGCGCTTAGCAGACTAGCCAGATGTACTCCCCAGTGTGGCTGGGGTGTGTGTGTCGTGGAGGCATGGCCTTGGGTATTGTGTGTGGCCCTTGGCCTGCTCCTTTCTGGCATGGTGCTCCTGGGCACCGTGAACTCAGCAGTTCTGTTTCACCGTGCCCTTCCACCATGATGGAGCCAGCCGGTCATGGACAGAAACCATGGGAAAATTAAGCCTTCCCTGCTTCAAGTTGGAAATGTCAGGTGTTAATGCTGAGCTATGGGAAAACCGACTAAGGGCAAAGGACGATCGGAAAGAATGATATGAGCTCAGAAACTGAAGGAGGTCAGAGTTCACTTTTAAGACAGAGCAAGGAATGAATGAGAAGACTCCAAATTTTTTATCTGCTTTTTGATGAAGATGTCAACTTCTTTTCAAAAAATACTCCTACCCCTGACTATCTTCCGTGTACCCTTTATGGGCTAAATTTTTTCTTGAAACTTTAGTTGACTTGATAATTCAAAATTTCAGCTATTAATATGATTGTAAAATTAGTGTTATTAAATTCATTGGTGCCATTTAGGTAGACAAGATGATCACATTCCTCATAGGGAATGTGTACTTGTAAATGAAAGATCCTGACTCCTCTTTTCTTCCTGTGACCATCCCCCTTCAAGCTCTCTTCCCCTCCTTGTTGACAAAGCCTTTATTTCCATTTTATCCTTCGTTTTCATTTCCCTTTTCCCTTTTTTCCTTTCCCCTTTCCCCTCCCAGTTCCTTTTTCTTTTTGAACAATTTCTTCCTATTTCACAATATCTATTATACATTTTGGTTCTTATTTACACTTTCAGTTTCTCACACCAAGAAACAATGTGATATTTACACATGTTTGTACAATTTATTTCACTTAAGATTATGGTCTCAAAAGTCCATTCACTTTGAAGATGAACCAGGTGAAAATCTGGTTCAAAATGAATTTTAGATTTGTTTTCTCTAGTTCTATGAGGCATGCTAATGCTATTTTGATTGGGATTACATTAAATCCTTATAAAAATTTTGGTAATATGGCCATTTTCACTATGTTGTTTCTCCCCACACAAAAACAAGGGATATCTTTCCATTTTCTGATACCGTATTCAATCTCCTTTTTCAGAGTCCTGTAGTTGTCAGTGTCAAGATTTTCTTCATTCATTAGAATTATTCCTAAGTATCTCATTTGGGGGGATGCTATTGTAAAAGGAGTTTTTCTCTAATTTCTCTATCAATGAGTTTATTATTTGTTTACTAAAAGTTTATTGATTTTTTGATATTCTCTTTGTATCTAGCTATCTGAATTTGTTTATTAACTTTAAAAGCCTTTTGGTGGGGTTTTGGGGGTCTTCTATGTATAATATGTCTTCTGCAAATAATAATATTTTAACTTTTTCCTTTCCTATTCTTATTCCTCTTCTCTCTTGTCTAATTGCTCTGGCTAATGCTTCCAGAACTATATTGAATAGGAGTGGTGATAGGGGCATCCTTGTCATGTTGCTGATTTTAGCATCAAAGCTTTCAGTTTTTGTCCATTTAGTATGATGATGGCTGCTGGTTTATCATAGAATGGCTTTTATCAGATTAAGATAAAAACTTTCTACTCCAGGTTTCTAAAGGGTTTTTATCATGAATGGATGCTACAATATTCAAATGCTTTTTCTGCAACTATTGAGATGGTCGTGTGTTTTTATCTTTTGCTCTGTTGATGTGGCATTTTACATTTATGGATTTGCTTATGTGGAACCATTCCTGCATACTGTTTGGTCATGTTGCATAATCTTGATGAAATGCTACATCCTGTTTGCTACTATCTTATTGAGTATTTTTGCACCTATGTTCATTAGAGACACTGGCCTGTACTTCTTTTTTGGTTGGATCCTTCTTTGGTTTTGATATCAAGGTTATACTTTCTTGCAGTGATGACTTTGGGAGTATTGCCTCCTATTCCATTTCATTAAGAGTTTGCGATACAGTGGCATTAGATCTTCCCTAAATTTCATACAGAATTCAGCAGTTACTCCATTGGGACCTGGGCTTTTCTTTTTTCTTTCTTTTTTGTGTTTGGTACAGGCTTTCACTATGCAGCTCAGACTCATAGTGATCCACCTGTTTTCAGCCTCCCTAGTGCTGAGATTGTAGGTGTATGCCACCATGCTCAGATTCATTGGCCCACTCAGTACTCCTGGGGGCAGGGCCGGTGTAGCATGTGGTGTCTGGGATGGAACTTGGTTCCTGCACTTGCCTAACCAGGTGCTTAGTCCACTGAGCTATCTTGCTGGCCCTGTTGGTAGATTTTTAAATACATACTCAATTTTGTTAGCTAATATTGGATTATTGAGAATTTTATATTTTCTTAATTTGTCCTTGATAATTTGTATGTATCTTAGAATCTCCATTTTTTCTGTGTTTTCAATCTTATTAGACACAGGTTCTCAAAGTTCAGAGTGATGATTTTCTGGATTTCTGCAGGATCTGTTGTGACTTCACCCTTTCATGTGTGGGTATGAGTCTTTTCTTTTTTTTTTTTTTTTTGATATTTGGCTAAGAGTTTTTCATTTTTATTTAATTTTTCCAAGAACCAACTCTTCAATTCATTGATTCTTTGTATTGTTTTCTTAGTCTTCATTGCATTAATTTCTGCTCTGATCTTTATCATTTCCTGCTTTGTGACAGCCTTGGGCTTGACTTGCTCTTCTTTTTATAGAAGCTTGAGGTTCAATATTAGGTTGTTTGTTTGTGTGTGTTCTGTTTTCCTGATATGTGAATTCACCACTATAAATTTCCCTCTTAGGCCTGCATTTATTGTATCCCACAGATTCCCATATGTTGTGTCAGCATTATCATTTAATTGTAGATACTGTTTAATTTCTTGTCTAATTTCATCTGTGATCCATTTGTTGTTCAAGAGGGTGTTATATATTTTCCATGTATTTATGAAATTCTTGTTTTTTTGCCATTGATTTCCACTTTTATTGTGTCATGGTCCAATAATATGTGTGGGAATATTTCAGTTCATTTATATTTACTTAAGCATGTTCTGTGAGCTAGGATGTGATCCGTTTGGGAGAATACAGTTATTTCGTAACTGCTGAATTCTGTATGAAATTTAGGGAAGATCTAATGCCACTGTATCGCAAACTCTTAATGAAATGGAATAGGAGGCAATACTCCCAAAGTCATCACTGCAAGAAAGTATAACCTTGATATCAAAACCAGAGAAGGATCCAACCAAAAAAGAAGTACAGGCCAGTGTGCTTCTGAGAAGAATCAATCCTGATATCATGGGATGCAACAATCTGTAGACATCTACCAAGTCCATTTGTTCAAAAGTTTGGTTCACTTCTGATATTTCTTTGTTGCTTTTTTTTGTCTGGGTGATCTATCTATTTTTGATAGTGTTTATCAGGTCCCCCATTATACTTATTAGTGCTTATTTGATGTTTTTCATGTCCTTTAATATTTGTTTCATGTGGTTTTGTGTACTGGTATTTGGTGCACATATATTTATGATTATTATATTCATCTTGGCGTTTTTCCTTAACAAGTATGTAGTAGGTCTTTCTGTGTCTTTTGATCAGTCTTGGCTTGAAGTTTACTTTGTCTCTAAAGAGATTAGCTGCCCCTGCTTTTTGCAGGGTCCTGTTACATGAAGTATTGTTTTCCATCCTTTAACTTTCAGTCCATGAATTTCCTTTTGAGTTAAATGTGTTTCTTGTATGTGGCATGTTGTTGGATCTTTCTTTTTGATCTATTTTGCCAATCTGCTTCTTTTGATTGGTGAATTGGGACCATTTTCATTGATGGTTATAATTGATAGGTATTGACTTATTTTTGTCATTTTATTTTCCTGTTGTTGGTTTCTTAGCTTTGTGCTCTGTTTAATTGCTTATCTTTCCTCATGGATTCATTCTATTGGTATTTTTGGGACTGTAGTTTTAACTCCTTCTAAAATATCCTTCAGGAAAAAAAATTCCTTCGGAATGCATTGGTGAACTCATTTGGTGCTCATGACTTTCTTTGAATGTTCTGTGTCATATTTGTATCTTATCTCTCCATTAATTTCATGCTATTAAAAAAAAATCATTTACTTATTTATTTATTTGGTACATGGTCTTGCTACACAGCTTGC